GGTAGCCAATAAAAACATTCGGGAACCCGGCTGGCATGCACCTCTCCAACGCGCTCTTTGTCCAAAACGCGGAAGCGAGCGAGTTGACTCTGAGCCACTTTTATCTGAGTTCGCAGGACTAAGAAACGGATGTTGCCTGAGGGAAGTAGATTTCTCGTAGAATAGGGAGAAGAGGCCGTTTTGAGAATAATGCAAGCGTTGTCATCCGTGCACAAAAAGTCAACAAGTCTGGGCAGATTGGAATTATCTACGCTGAAGTAAAGAGTTGGTAGGTGAGCGCATTATGGCGAATCGTCGCAAAAATCGAATATTCCCAGGTTTATTTTCACTACTCAGGGGCTGTTGCTTTCAAGTTTGAAATGAATAAATCTTTTAAAAATCGTTATAGCAATAAACTGCTGTGATTCTGAGCGTTGTTTACAACGGCCCTGGGGAAGTGTGTGGGGACGGATCGCTTGGGCAGTTAAGTTTAGGATCAACTGTAGGCAGCAAGCGATGCATCAGATCTGAATTTTCCGTGGACTACGAGGTCGCTAAGGACAGCAAAAGGGTCTCAAGATAATCATAAACTAAAGTGTGACTACTGCATGCGTATGAATTTCCCAATTTCCATGATTGTCCAGCCAGCATGATTATTAGCCATCGCAACTATATTCTATCCAACGAGGGAAATCTGACTCGATGTTTAACATCAGTAGTGTCGCTGATTTACAATCCCTGAAAATGGACAATAATCGGATGAAAGGTTTTCACCTTACAGGTTGGATAAAACAGCAGCATAATGTCTTTTACAGTGAACACATAAAATAAACTCCTTTCGATTATCAGCTGCCACATTGACTACTACCTCTCTCCCAAAAAGGTGTTCCACAGGAACAAATTTTATCATATGCAAGGAAATAAGAACGTGTCAGACAAAGCCTCAAACGCTGAGGACAGCGTAAGTTCTCTGTTCAGTTGTGAATTTAAAGTTGCGCGCAAAGCAACTACGTCGGAGAAATTGGAAGACTGTCCCGGACGCGAATAGCCGAACACGCGGCAGCAGTGCAACTCATTTGACTAGACCCGGTCACACATTCAAATTCGACGAGGAGGGGCTCCTTGCGAAGGGTGTGACAATGGCATGAAACGTGAATTACTTCAGTTATGGCTTACGGGCCCCTAGTCTATTAGCAAGTAGCCTACGTACCCAACCCCTATTCGGTGCTGAGACCTTGTTTAACCAAAGCAGTCAGCCACTCGGGAGCACGCAAATGAAAATATTTTGCGAGGCCATTGCCGGTGCGCCAGGTGCTCGAGAAATCATCAAGCCAACCTGCAGCACGGGGTATGAAACTTCAGCAGATAACGCGACCCAAATGCTGGCCACCAAGCCATTAGCGCCCCAGAAGGAAAACATCATCGATGAAAGCCGTTAAAGCCGTATGCAGTAACGCAGCGATTATATTACATAAGTACTGCAACTCTCCGTGTAAGTATTATCCTTATCTAATGCACCTCTGAAGATAGATTCGAGCCGGCAAATAAAGTTCTCATCCGAGCAATCGCGTCTATTTCTTCTATATTACTTCCTGGGACTCACATTTTCGCCTGTATCAACATCAATCTCTATTAGAGAACGAAATTATAAAAGGAAAATTACAAATTAAGGTGATAAGATTGTAGCGACCTTGTATTTCTAAGCCATGCTTTGCTCACATGCCCCGCATGTCTGGGTCTCGTGCGCGCCAGACGTGTCAAGGTCACGGACGTGTCTGGCCATACTGGCCAACCAATTCTCAAGGCCAGTGCACAAAGGAACTTACTGCGGAGGAATTGTTTACGCTCAGTCATTCCCAGAACCGGCGATCTACTGTTTGGTTGTAGTTGTTCGGACACGGTGATCTACTTTCCGGGCTGCGCCTCTGGACTCCGGCCCATTCATGGCTGGACTGCACTTGTCTGGGAGTCACTTACCTATTACTTACATTTTACTCCTGTTACACCTTATTAAATTATCCCTAACACTCTGGCCTTCCAGACCTC